TACACTATATATATATTCCCAATACGCAGCCTATATCCAACACAAAAACATCAATACATATAACTTAATTGGTTGCTAAGCTTGCTCGAGACCATTCGAGGCCATTCTTTAGTGTTGACATAGCTCAGAGAGCTTTATGCCCATGAGCTTTTACGTATCTGTATCAGCACTGTCTGAGATTGTACCCGTTTGTGTCTGAAAGGAGAGCGAGGACTTCTGTATCAGTAAAGTTCGACTCTGCAGCGATGTCAAGAGCGGTTTTGCCTTCTCCATTCATAGCTTCCGGGTCTGCTCCCCTGCAAAATCCACCCATATTTGTGTTAATTAAAAGACAAAAAAACTTTCGAAAGGATTTAGCGAGAGAAGATGTTGGGAGATTTTGGATAAGTGGCTCAAAGAAGAATCAAGTCACCTCGTGAGTAGCAGTCTTGCTACTACTGCTTTGCCTCTGAGAATACAATAATGCAGCGGCGTTTGACCATTGGAATCCGTGGCGTTTACATTTGCACCGTATTGCAGCAAAAGCTCGACCATCCCAATGTCTGCCTTCTCACAAGCACAGTGAAGCAGAGAGCAACCTCTGGTTTCCTCTGGAGGAATAATTGAGGAACTACCTGAGGAGGTTCTATCAAGTAACTCATTTCTTAATCTGAGTAGGACATCTTCACGCTTTGTCCTCTCTGGTACTAATATTACTCTGGAAAGTGTTAACGAAGAGCTGGAAGATGATTGGTCATACACAGAATTCACATCCGCTTCACCATTGACAATAAGCCGGTAAACAGCTTTTTTATCATTGCCACACACTGCATCCCACATTTGCTGTGCAACTGACTGTGGGAAATCGCAGTCTCTCGATCTTCGAACAAATAGCTTCTCAGCATACTGTGAAATGAGAAAAAAAAAAAAGATGTTAGAATGAACGATCTTGTACATTACCTACGATAGAGAGAGAATGCTGCGAAAGAAAATATTATCTAGATGCTCAATGAGCTTTTGAAGGAACAACATACTGTGAAATAAGCACTTCCTCGAGAAGAAAATTAGCTTCAGTTATCTCCAACACAAGGAATCAAATAAAGGGTAGAAGCATAAGAACCTTAGCTTGTATGTACTTCTCCTTGATAGATATCATATCGGCATAGCTGGGTTTTCCAGTGACCAATACCCTTGATTTATCAGACCTGCACATAACAATATTTTAACAGTTATTATGTTTAAGGATGATTAAGTTTCCTATAGCTTTGGTTGAGAAGGTAAACATTTCAATCATAAATGGAGTTTTACCCTGTTAAGCCTGGGTCAACATGGAAGGCGGTCCTCGAGTGAAGCAATTCCTCCCAGACTGTGTTTGCGAAAGTATTTCCAAGTGCTTGGAACAAACTTATAACAGATGGCTCCCATATTTTCACGTCGAGAGTGAGTGACCTAACCTGTTGCAATGGCCAAGTTCAGATTGCTCTAGACTGATTTCAAACTGAAAGTCGAGCAATCAAAGTTCAGATTCTATCACATTCTTATCCTAGCAACAACAATTAGTCAGCAGATCATGTCTCTAACAATCTGAATTGCTGATGAACATCAAGTCAAGGGTTACTTCAAGATTCGGATGGACTTCTTCACTTCCTTTCATGAGTAAGTTATTACAGAACCTACATATATTTTGCAAACAATTAAGAGTTTCCGCGATTTACCTTAGAAATATGCACACCAAGATTACGGTGAACACCAGAACACTCGATACAGACAAGAACCCCCAGATTTAATGAAGCCCAGTCTGGTTCTGGAGCTCCACAATCCGCACATTTGTCATTCCCACAGACTTTCCGCAGAGCATCAATGGGCTTCTCACCCTTTCTAATGGACCGTTGAGGCTGAAAATTTCTTGATGGCCTTTCATGGTATCCCAAAAAACTCCTCTCACATACAAATTCTTCAGTAGTAGGATGATCATATTCAGAACTTTCATATGAGCTACTTTCACTAGCAGACCGATGGTGACCACTTCCCATGGGACTACCAGGAAGGCACTGAAATGCAGCCCAAGGACAATCACCAAAATTGCATTGATAATTAACATGCACCAGGTAAATGCAAAGGAACAATGATGATACTTACCCGTTCAGGGACCTGTGAACTAAGTAGGGATGCAATAACCCCAGTGATCTTTTCTATCCAATCCATTTGATCGAGAGCACTCTCAGCCTGCACTGACAAACCATAAGTAAACACTGAGTGAAAACTATTAAAGGTTAGACAAACTTGCAAAAATGAAAGGTCTAAGGCAGCAACAAACACTCTGAATCAAACCTGCAACGTGTAGTTTTTTGTAGGTGAAATGATCCTAAAGCAAAACCTCAGATCTGATTGATCAGCGTCAACTTTAATTGTCGAGGTAAGCAAGTTCACTGTATGACGGGCTACAGACTTCTCATCATGTACTCCACCATGACTATTCGATGAAGAAAGCCATCTACTAAGAAGTCCAGACCCAAGCTCAGAGCTATTTCTCTGTCCCGAATGCTGGCTGCCAGACCCCTAAACATTAAATCAACTAAGTCAGTGAATGCAAAGAATAGGTCAAGAAGATATTAATTTATAAACACCAAAATCATTTGCATTATTGTGCTTTTTTTTTTTGACAAATCAAAGATAAAATATATACGCAAAACTCACAGATGGTTTGCTACACTGTTTACGGTAATAATACAGCATTCCTCGGCTGTCAAGAACAAAAAACCGTCTTTTCCAGTCTCCTCTCAGGTTTGAAGACCGTTTAGAGAGATAACCCTGCCGTATTGTTTGCACCTGAAGCACCAGGAAATGTTAATAGCACTCTCTGGAAAATGTATCATTCATATGTAAAAGGATGTTGGTCAACCTTTCCCCTTGCGGCAGATTGCATTACAGCGTCTATCATTTTGTGAGAGCTTCTACCAATTGCTTGTATGCCATCTCCATTTGGGGATCCATTAGAACCATTTGAACCATACCTGCTTTCTCGATCAACCTGTCTTTTGTACTCCTGCATCTTTTCATTAAGTGCTGCTTGTTCATAGTTTGATCTTTCTCTGGATTGTTGTGCATAGGTCAAGACCTGCAATCATAGAGCTCGGGTATAAATAGATTCCTTAAATGCAACTATCTAAGCGACTAAGCGTTCCCAACACATTGAATGACATGTAAAGAATTAAACCGACCTGATTGATATATGGTTCCATCTGATGCAGTAATTCATAACCCTGAAAGCAGCCACATTCAGACGCAAACCTTTTCAGACTATTTTAAATGTTTTAAGAAGCCTAACAAACTTACCTGTTTGAAGTAACGAAGATGAGCATCCATTGTTCCGCTGACTGCTTCCAAAAATTCAAACCTTTTCTTAGCTTCAACATTTGAAAGAGCAGTCACCTGAGCATAACGTAGGGAAACAAAAGATTACTCCAACGATAGCATGGATGTGACAGAAGGTATATAGATTTGAAATTAATAATCAAGATCAAACAAAGAAAATTACAAGGTTGAACCGAGCTTGCTCAAACATAGACCTCGAAGTATGAAGTTCCTGACAGTGTAAAAAAATGTTAGTTATAACATAGAGAAATTAAAAAATACATGGTATTGGGACCTAAAAAAAAAAGTACATGGTATTCAAAAATTAGAAATAACGAGCTTTACTAGAATCATGCACCACACCTGTTCTAAAGCAGCAGCAACGTCACTTTTTGTACCTTTCCTCAAAGATAAAAACTTCTCACGGGCCTAAAGCACAATAAGAAGTTAATTAGCTAATCTGTCCAGATAAGAGTGTGCCCAATTGCTACGAAATAGATATCATATATCTTCCAGGCTATAAATTTGATTCCTAGTAAAAGTTGGTGCTTAGAAAAGTAAAACGAACAAGAACTTGCTAGGTTTGCAGATTTATACACAGCCTGCACATAAAATGGCTAAACATATCCAACTTCTGAAAAAAGAACCCTAGCCTTCCTCCCTTAACGAACGAAATGAATAAGAAATATTTATCGAGCTCAACCCATTTTGTTTGGTAGAAACTTTTATTATTACATCTAGTAAACAAAAGAGTTGGGATGAGAAGATTTAGTCTTTCCGAACTATTTTTCGCAGTGCAAACCATGTCAACCGAGTGAAGAAAGCGAAAAGAACCCTGAACAAATGGATACCTGATCGTAGGTAAGACTAGCCTTGTCAAAGCGCTTCCGAGCTTCCTGTGGCAAAAATGATCTCTCAGGATTCCATATCCAAATATAAAACCTTGTAATGCTAGCATACCTTGAGAAAAAGGCAGGCCCAAGAAACTTAACCATATCTTTCGCATTCATCAGACCTACTCTACATCTATGCCTCGGAAAATATTTCTAACTGTCTTTCCATTGGGGAAGGTTAACTACTTGAGTGATAGTTATTAAGCTTATTAGATTTCTAGGGCTGCAATCGCAAACTCCAAACTAGAAGAGTAAAACCCAATCCATATCAAATTAAATGCCTCTCTGCAAACCTCTTGCATATCTTCATATTTTTTCCCACTCATACATTGCAGAGTGTGTATTCTCCATTCTTTCAAACATTTTCTAGTTGGTACTAATACCCCAATGATGCACTTGGATGTATGGCCAGCATAATTTTATATTCAGCCAAGAAGGAAGTAATTAGCTTGTACCTTAACTTCATGCAAGTCCATATTGGCAAATTGAAGTAATCTGTCATTCAGTATATGTTCCACCTGAAAATGAGAACTCATCAAAATGAATACCTGAATTGAAAAGACACGGTCTGATCTGGAAATCTATAGAATGACTTAAGGTGAAGCAATCTAAATTGAGGCCACTACTGCTGAAGGAAAACAAAACTATCTTACGTTGATACCACAGAGGAGTTATCAGAGAGAAGGCTGAAGGTGGAAAATTTAGAGAGAATGTCAACAGCAACAAACTAGCATACCTGTGACCGAAGCACTTCCTTATAAGTTCCAATTTCCCTCAACGCAATAGTAAATTTTGTCATTACAGGTCCTGGAGCAGCAAGTTAGAGTCTATCAGCACTCTGATGAAACTAGTTTTATTTTCCAGTTTTCAAGCGAGATATTTCCACCAACAACAGTGAATCTAACAACCCTAGCAAAGCGAGAGCGGAGAGCAAGAGCAGGGAAAGCAACTTCACTTTGTACTATTTAAGGCCATAAATTAGTGCTTAAAAAGCAACAATATTCGTTCATGAACTTTAAAATGGACACAGCTTCAAATCTCAGATGACAAGTAGGTGAAAAGGGTATGGGGATAAACAGACTATATGCTACTGAGAGTTTCCATAGGCTATGTGAAGTCGCTCGTACCTCCAAAAGCCACACTTATTGGATCATTATGGCCTCCACCAAATGTTTCAAGTGCACTTGCGAAAGCAATGTCCCCATCATATGCCTCGCCTAGCCCTTCACTGAGAAAAGAGGGACAATCTATCATTGTTAGAAGATATGTTCTCATGTCTCTTTAAGCCAGAAGAAAACTCTGAATGCACAATAACAATCCTAACAACTTGTGAAAATTCACATACGTGTATTTTCGGCATCCTTTATAAAACTTGAGACTTCTTTCCCGCAGTATTTCTGCACTCTCCTCCATGCTTTGTAACTGTTTCAAAGAAAATATATCAATATAAGTACCCGACTGTGGTGACCCCGTGTAACACAGTATGGTAAACACACGACTAGAAGGCAAATCACATAACGCAAAGAAGACAGCAAGACACAATCCTATAATCAAAGAAACTGCAAGGAGGGACAACCCAAAAAATCGAGTGATTTAGGCACTCCGTATAGCGGTAAAGTAATCCTCTACTATAGAAAAACAGAGCAGATTTTGGCCAGAAATTGAGCTACACTAGGAACTTTACACTTAAGTTACAATCTTTTCTGCTCCACTCAAGCCCAGAAGGGTATATATAACAGAACTCATTGACTAAAACCACTGAGAAGCATGAGAATACTAGCTAAGTGGACACAAATGTCTCTTAAAACACAGAACAGCTTTGTCAGAGTCAGAGACCCAAATATATGAACTGGATCATAAGTCATTTCGTCCAAGCAACTTAAAGTGAAACCAATTTCTCAGTGACACATTAATTCGAAACCTTCCAGTGTGAAGTTCCACTCTAGCAGATGCAAACGCAAACGATTTCCAGTAACTCGGGTCTAGCAAAATGTCGGTGAACACTCAAAATTCCAGACATAACCAAGTCCTAATGGCTCCAAATTTGCAATCTTGTGACAAACTTTAACAATAAAAATCTTGCTTAATATCGAC